AAAAAATCGCAAATTACAAACTACACACTAAAGCCTTTATTTTGCAAATTAAGACAATAGGCGTTATTTTTCATTCCCTTCTCTAAGTTTTTTACTATGTGAATTTTACATTTCAAAAATGGTAGAACAAGAAAATTCCTTGCCTCTATTTGATGATTCTCATATCGGTCGAGATGACAAATAGTTCTGTAACAACGTCTGATGGTTAAGATATTTATGATATTTTAGCATCTCATTTCTCCTCTGTCTACAGTGAAGAACAGTCTAAACAATCTGATCAACTGCCACAACCGATCACATATCGCAATGTATTTTTAACAGACCAACAACACGGATTTACACCGGGTAGATCAGATCGACTTCTACAAACTTAGTGTGCTTCACAGAAGAACTGATTAAGTATGTGGACAAGAACAAACAGATTGATGTTATTTACATGGATTTTAGCAAGGCGTTTGATAACGTATCTCAATGCCTCCTTCTTCGTAAACTTTCAGCCTATGATGTGCATTGTGCCTTGCTGGAATGGTTCAGTTCTTACCTAACCCACAGGTCATTCTTCAATGTAGTTAATTTTTATTTATCTATAAACCCACAAAATTATATCAGGAGTGCCACAAGGCTCGCAGCTTGGCCCTGTTGTATTAATAATGCTAAATCTTTTTTATATGCCGACGACTATAAACTTTTGCGTAAAATCGATTCCATGGATGATGTGAATCGTTTGTTAACGAGGTGGTGTCACGAAAACAATATGGTTCGCAACGCGAAAAGGTGTACACATATTCACTGTAGCGGGATTTGATCGTATTCTGCATAGCGATTACACGCATTGACGTGCGCGACTTCGGTTGATGTTTATACTTCGCAATACTTGGTAGCAAGCCAAGGACCAAGCCCTCTTTTACTGGTTCGCCAGTTATTTTGCTGTGAACTACGGTCCAGTTTCCAACTTAACGTCCCCTTCGGGGGGGGGGGGTGGGGGTGCGTCGGTTGGTCGGCGCTCACCGCACACGGTGTGTGTGGAGCCGTGTACCTCCCCCACATTTTTGTTAAATATGGGAGAGCGACGCCCTTGTATCTGGCATTTGGTATAGATATTGTATGGTTAATATACTGGTCACGTAAATTTTATATATTTTTATATATCTTATACATATAAATTCTAAAAAAGACAAAGAGGAGAGGGGAAGTGTTACACTACTACTTAAGTAGACTTTACATTGAATGCATCACATCGATAGATCTTAATTTTGATTCTTTAAAACATTTTCGTAAGCAAATCAGAGACTTAAGACATCGTCTATAATTTGTTAAAAAAATTACTTAAAAATATTTTATGATTTTTCATTTACAATTATTAAGTTATTATTATTAAACGCATGATGTATTCTCCTATAAGGATAAGGATAGCATATATAAACAAGTTATGTTTCATAATGAACAGAGATAGTTGTAATTTAGACAAAGAAAGCACTAGCCTCCTCGCGACGTTATACTAAACTCGAAAACCTCGAGGGAGTGGGATAATATTGTGTTCAGTGATCACATTATCGTTAAATCAACATCAACATCAAATACTCCTTTATGTCGCCGAAAGCCGCAACATCACATGGTTGAGTTGTCTAACCGCCGCCCGAACAAGCAAGCGGATCCCAGCTCTTACGGGTAACTCGTATTGTTCGATATTTTAGGCGATCATAACCGCCCAGGGACGCGGGTGCATGGTGTGTACGCGATGTGGAGGGGTGTGCGGCGCGCCCGTCTATGGACTCCCTACGTCCCGTCCGTCGTTGACCTAACAGTGATTGTGGCACTAGATGAATGTGCAATGTTTGGTCGGCAAAATTTTGGTCGTCGGCATCGAGTGGAACAGTGTGTTCGATTAGAACGTTGCAAGGCCTCCGGAGGGTTAGCGTAACGTTCGGAGTCTGAGCGTAGGTGACTGCGTTTACCACTATCGGGTTCTGATGTGTTTCGGCCCTATCGAAGTAGCGCTGAGATATATCCTTGAAATACTCAGAGATCGTCGAAAGTTGATAATCTCTGTGGCTATGCGAATGAATCTATTTTGGACGACTTGGAGGTCGTACAAATGATTATGGCTTACGTGCGCGAAAATTGCGCTTGCGTAAGACATGATAGGTCTTACGCACGCTTTATAAAGATGGAGTTTGTGTCCTAAGAACAGTTTTCTCCTGCTGTTCACTAAGATGGAAGCGACTAGTGACAAATTTGGCACAGTTGCGGACATTGTGAATGTGTTTCGCGAATGTCATACCGTGGTCAAATGTGACCCCTAGATTTTTGGCCGATGATTGCCAGGGGGTTTGGTGGCCATATAGGGTGATCATACCGAACTTTTTGTTGGGGGTTTCTGATTTGACGATTGAAAGTGGAGATTCTTTGAAAGCGTATTTTTATACTTTTCTCAGGATTCATTTCGATTCTCCATAAGGGGAACCAATCGTCCAGGCGGTTGACGGCTGTTTGGAGCGTCTTGTTGAGGTATTTTGTATTGGGATGAGCGACAAAAAGTGCCGTGTCATCTGCGAAAAGAGCTGTGTTCACTACCGGTTGCTTCGGTGTGTCACAAATGAAGAGTGTGAAGAGTATTGGGAGAGAACGGAGCCTTTTGGGACTCCAGGCTTAAGGGTAACTAGCCTCCTACTGATATGATAAAGATCATGTAGGAATTGTTTGTTCATGTTGTATGGGATCTAAACAGGGTCTATAAACTTTATTAAAATAAAAAATAAACTTTATTAATTTGTGAAAATTTCTGTAATTTAAAAAGAAATAAGTAATATATTATGTTTCAGGATTATTATATATATGTATTAATAAAATCATTACTGTGTTAAAAGTGTCTAAATTTGTGCTTGAAATAGCAAACGTTTTTCCCCCGAAGGGATAAAAACGATATATTTCATGTCTTGCCTAGGCTTGACCTGTGAGATTACATCCTTCAAATTATCCCTTGATACATACGTGTCATAGCTCCCCGTGCCGTCTAGCCGCGCTCTATACTCGCTCCCCGTACCCTTCATCCAGGGGTGCGCGGGCGGTGTGAACGCGGTGTTCGTCAGTACCTTGATATTAGAGTCGTCAAGGGCTTACCTGGTCAAGCCTAGGCAAGACATGAAATATATCGTTTTCATCCCTTCGGGGGAAAAACGTTTGCTATTTCATGGTCTGTGCCGTCGGCTTGACCTGTGAGAAATCTTTGGATTCTGACGACACGGGGATAGCGTACTGTGAAAGATATTTATTTAGTGTTATGTTTCAAATGTGAATAAGAGGATAAAATATTTGTAAGTACTTGTATTTTAAAATAAACAGAAAGAAAAAACTTAGTGTTTATTAGCAAAATATAAAAATCAACCAAACAATCAATCACACAAGTAAGTAATTTTAATTAAACAAAATTTATCATACACTAGTAAAGCTAGTATTGACAAAACTAGCTACATTAGAATCATCTTTGGAAGGAATACTGATTATATCTTTAAAATAATGTCTCACCACATTTCTTTCGCTTTTCCAGTTACCATTTCTTAGTATTATATCTATTGGGACGTCATTCTTTTTTCTAGAAGAAGCAACAGCGGACCTAATGCTACCCGGTGAAAAATTTATGTGTAATTCCGAAAAAACAATTTTTATCCATCCAGCTATAACTGCTTTAGATGCAGCTGCTACTCGACCTCTAGAGGTAATAAACAAAGAATTTATCTTTTTTCCGCCCGCGTTTCTTCTCGAATGTGAAGCGGCAAGATGAATCTTTACCCATCGGACTGGATCAAGTTTCTCGTTTGGGACTTGTAAAAGCTTCCAAGCAGATTGTCTGTGTGAACGGTTATCGGTTTTTGACCCAAATTCCGGCCAAAATGTAACAGAAGACTCATCTATTGCCATGCTATTTTCATCAATATTAAGTAAAGTGAGGTCGTGGATCCTTCTCCCAGATGCCAGCAATAATAATAGAGCCAGATGTCGCGATACTTGAAAAATACTATCTTCCTGTATTTGAATGTTCTCTAGCCATTTAATCAGTAGCTTAACATCCCAAATTTGCTTGTTAAGTGTAGGTGGCTTTGATAATTCAATGGCCTTGATAATTTGTCTAACTACCGAGCTGTCTGTAATAGAATCCCTATTGACTGGGTCAGCAAAGGTAGCAATGACAGATTTATGTAGTTTTATAGTGCTAGGTGATAACTTCTTTACTCTGTATAGAAAACTCAAGTGTTGTGCTACTGAGGCTGCGTCAGGCTTGTTGGGGTTGAGACCACGAAGTTGACATCTTTCTACCCATGTTTTCCTTGGTGCTCGATATGTTTTAAGCGACGAATCACGCCATGCTTTTTGTATCAGGTGACAGTCTTCTTCTGACCAGTTCTTTGTTAAAATCGACCACCCCGTACCTTCCAAGCCTCCAAACACAGGTTTCGGGCTTTCGTTAAATTTGTTTGAGGTGTTAGATCTTTTAGGTGATGGTGGAGGTTTCGGATTTGAAACGGGTGATCTATCGCACGTGATCGTAGATCCGACCTCCAAAATACCCTTTCCCAGCGTGGAACAATCAGAATGTATGTACCTTTGGCTTGATTCAGATGGGCTAGCACTCAAGGAATTAGGGACGGTGGTGGAAAAATCCATGCTAACTTGAACACCCATCTCTTGCTGAAAGCATCTATGAATAAAGCTTCTTTGTCCTTTGCATCCCGAGATACATAAACTGGGACTACTTTTGAATTGCTCGATGCAAACAGGTCTACGTCGGGAATGCCCCACTTCTAAAAAATGCGACTGCAAATTTTCGTTGATAGATGCCAGTCTGATAGATGCATCTGCCGAGACAGGCTGTCGGCCACGTCGTTGTATATCCCCGGTATATATTGGGGACAGATTTCCGCATGTAACCTCTTGGCCATTATCAGCACCTGAGAGACCAGCTCTGTCAGCTGTGGCGATCTTGTTCCACCTTAATTTTTTATTTATGCTATTACGGTTCGATTGTCTGACTGTATGACAACTCTTTTGTTTTTTATTGAATCTTTCTCGGAACGAATTGCTAGAATTACTGCAAATAGTTCTTTCTTGTTGATATGCCACCGAGATTGGCAAATGTCCCAGATACCGCTGATGTGCTTCTCGTTTATTTGCGCTCCCCATCCTTTGTCTGAGGCATCTGATGTAATGAAAATGGTTTCGGAGGATCTGAAAAGAGTGTCTTTCTCTTCCAAATTTTGAATCCACCACTGGCATTGTTGGAATGCTTTTCTTGGAGTGGGAAACTTCTTCCGGGCTAACCCTTCTGGTAAAATGTTGGCTGCTCTTTGTATCTCCCTGGAGTGAAGTCTTCCCAAGGGTATTACAAAGGAAGCAAAGTTTAGTTTTCCTAGCAGGCTTTTTGCGGACTGCCAACTCCATCTTTGACTTGTTAGAACATTGTTGAGGTCTTTTCTCAGGGAAGATATTTTCTTTTTCGGGAGCGCTTTTGTATTGCGGATTGTGTCCCATTCTATTCCTAGATACTCGATTCGCTGGGATGGGCTCTGTAGAGATTTGTCCATATTGATTATCCAACCTAGTTTGACAAGAAACTGTACTGTCATTTTGGCGTCGTTTTGCACTTTCACTGGATCTTGGTTGGCAAGCAAGAAGTCGTCGAGGTACACAATAACTCTTATGTTCATCTGTCTTAAGCGTGATGCTATCCAATTTGACACTCTTGCGAAGGTTAGAGGTGCCGTTGATAGACCGAACGGTAGGCATGTAAATTGTAGAACCTTGTTTTGGTGAACTATTGACAGGAATCTTCGATGACGATTGGTTATTGGGATGTGAAAGTATGCCTGAGAAATGTCTATTTTCATGAGAAAATCTCCTTTTTGTAAGAAATGAGGTACTTTGAAGTGGTTTAACAACCGGAATTTCTTTGGGGTAAGGTATCTGTTTAGGCCTTTCAGATTGATTATCGGTCGTACTTTGCCGTTGTGTTTTGGAACTGGAAACATAGTTGACAAGAAACCTGTCTGAATCGAGGAATTTTCTATTACCTTTTGCTTTATTAGGGTCCGAATCTCTGAATCTAAATTTTTTGTTTCGAATTTTGTAAGTATCTTCGGGTGAAAAGGCATTAGCGGGGGCTTTTTGACAAAGGGGATAGTGTAACCCTTTATTATCTGTAAGATGCTGAATGGCGCGCCCTCTCTCTTCCAGACCTCTACAAATTTCAAGAGTCGCCCCCCGCTGAAAATGTCATTCATTCCTATGTCTTTTTGAGGTATGATTCTTAGAAGACTTGCCGCGGGGAGAGGGTTGGCTTTGATCTTTATTTCTAGTGCCAAACGGACGCTTGAAAGTTTCGTACGTTTTACTGGTATTTGATTTTCGAGGTCGGTTGAATGATTTCGACGTTTTTGAGACTTTATAAGTTGGTCTAGTTTGACGTGCGGATGGTGTTGCATTGTAGTTTTTAGGTTGCAAGGGTTTTCTATGGGGGATGCGAAAAAACGTTTGGTGAGGTGGCTGTTTCAGTAGTTCTGCTAGCCGTGTTTCGCAGAAAAGATGGGTGGTTGAAGGGGGAATTGCACCAAGAAGAGCTGCTTGATATTCTTCTTTTGGAAGGAGCCCATTCCTTCTTTGTTCGATAATCTCTGCTCTTCTCCCGCATACGTACTGAAGCAGATCATCCGAAAGAGACTTGAAAGGTGTATCCGTCGATAAGATATTTTTCAAGTCTTGTTTCATAGCTGGGTGTTTGATAGCTGGTTGATAGCTAGATCTTTCAGTGTGTTAGTTAGTGCCTCCCGTTGAAGCAGAAGACCATGGGAAATTGTGCCCAGAGTGTAGTCCATTCGAACCAATTGATCTTGATTGGAAGGAGGTCCATAGGTCGTGAGGATAGGGTTGACCTTTAAAGGACCGAAGACCGGGCTAGCATGCAATTTTTTCTGAACCTCAGCATATCGAATCTGATTAAATGCTATATCGCCCAAGCGTTGACACTCAGTACCCTGTGTGCCAATGTGCTGGCTTGGGGTCGGTATCAGAGGTTCTTGTTGCCTTGTGGTAGGGGTCCAGTCGAAGTCTTCATCTACTAAAGATGTTGGAGGTTCCCAAGGCTTTGGTGATGACACTGAAAGCTGAGGGGCATTTTCCTCATCTTCTGATGGTTCTGGGGTAGTTGAGACCTTCTCCGAGCCCGAATACGAGTGATCTTCTGGCTGAAAATTCTTAATAAATTGTTCCAGCATATTTTCCAATTTACGCTGGCCTTGCTCCAATTTGTCCAGTCGACTTGGCTTTTTGGACCTACTAGATGAAGTTCTTGTAGAATTAACTGATATTTCATCCTCAGATTGTTCAGATTGCGGTGCCAGTTCCCTATTTGCCTCCTCTCTGCTTTTGAGGAGTGGTCTCATGTCAGAGATGGAGGCTATTATCAGTTCATTCTGGACTGCTGAACCTCGTACTCTTGCAGCCAGGGTCATTGGATGTATAATAAGGCCCACACACAGTGGCCATTCCAAAAGTTTTAATTTTATATCTCTATAAGTTTTCTCCTTTAGCGATGGGCACTCAGGAGAAAAAGCTCTGGCGAGTCCAACAGTAGGAATGGCAAATCTAATTTTGTTAAGAATTTGGGGATCAAACTCGTTTCCCAACAAGTCTTCCTTATCAAGGACTCTAATTTTCCAATCTTTCCAACCCAATGGTAAATGACCATCAATTAGTTTTATTATCCTCTTTAAGATAATATTATCCTCGGGGTCATTTGCTTCCCAGCCGAGTAGAGACTCGAGCGTGCGCATCTCTGCAGAGGATGCCGCCTAAAACAAGTAAACAACGATACTTTAGAATATTATTCCGTTAGCTTAAGCCTTCGTGATAAGATAAAAATTGGCCATATAATTCAGTAACTATTGATAAGTATAGTTTGTTTATAACATTGATTCGTACGGCTCAAAAGTTTGACCCTTACAGCTCGCAAGTTTGGCCCGCATGGCTCACAGAATTGATTCGTGTGGCCCGTGAGTTTGACCCGTACGGCTCGTGAAATCGGCCCGTACTGCCCACCAGATTGACCCGTACGGCCCACCAGATTGACCCGTACGGCCCACCAGATTGACCCGTACGGCTCGTAATTTTGACCCGTACGGCTCGTAGTTTCGGCCCGTACGGCCCAGATATTTGAGCTTTAAATAGTTACGGGTTGTAAGGTTATATCCACAAGCTTACTAGATCAGATCGTAGGATTCGCTTGATTAGGATAAGCAGATCGCAAATCTGGGCTGTGTGGCACGCAGATTAGGAATTGGGTATATGACATAACTTAATCCTCGAACGAGGAGAGTGAGTCAAACAATAATACGATTACTAAAATCTTATAAAAACATTGTATAGTCTGTGTGTAGGACATATACAATATTAATCAGATAAAAACTAGAATAAAAATGAACATAAGTAAATAAAATATTACAAGCACTTACGAATATGTGATTAACTTACCATGATATACGAGTAAAGTCAATCCGTAAACAAACACAACACTGTCGATCACAAAGTTGATAAATATTATGATCTCGAACGAACACTCGTCGTTAATTTGCGCAGCAAAGTGACACGCGTGCATCACGGGTCAATTGAAAGCGTACTGACGAACACCGCGTTCACACCGCCCGCGCACCCCTGGATGAAGGGTATAGAGCGCGGCTAGACGGCACGGGGAGCTATGACACGTATGTATCAAGGGATAATTTGAAGGATGTAATCTCACAGGTCAAGCCGACGGCACAGACCATGAAATAGTGAAATAATAATAGATTTATATAAAAAAATTAAAGTCGAATTAAAGCGTAAAATACCTGTAAATTGTGAATTAAACTATTGTATTAGTAAAGACATTCATGCTTAATAATAAAGATTGTTATTTTTACCATGTGTTACAAATGCATTCATAAGTAAAAATATTAAGATTTGTGGGTAGTTTTAACAGCGTTGTACACTATAAATGGAACTGCGATATGTTAGTGGCAGTTCAGTTCATTTCTCTTCAGTCGTGTGCAAGTGAGTCGCTCTGCCAGTAGTTATTATCATCTACACTAAGTAAAGTATAATATAATTAATTATTTTGATTCGTTTAGAAAGTGAATAAAAAGTGCTACAAGGTAATCTGTTTTACTTGATAGTTACTTATTTAAAACTATATTACTTTTTCTTTTACAGTTTACTTACACCTTTATTGATGTGCCATCAAAACAAAATACGTTATCACTTCCTATTAGTTCGTAATACATTACTAATAAATTCAGTCTGTGACTTAGAATAATTAAGGATATTGATAAATCCGGTGCGTAATACTTATTTATATCAATGAACGTTAATAGAAGCTTCATCTAAATATCTTATTATTTTTTCCTATGTTACTCTATAGTTTTACGATTTATTAAATCTGAAGCATATGTATACTTAATAGTCATTTATGTATAATAATTCATTATATAGGTGTCGATGATTTCAAATCTATTTGTAACACATTTGTGATTTAAGATTTCTAACTTTGAAAATGTTCTGTAAAATAGGTATATTTTGTTGAATATCTTAATATGTTTTTATGTGATAGCGATGTAATGTATATCATAATAATAAGACTTTGTGTGTGATTCTTATATAAATAAAATTGTGTACCCAAAGTTTTGTATAGAATTAAAGATATGGTGTAAAATACAAGGGTGCAATGGTGAAAGTCAATATTAAGATATATCGAAATGGCACGCGGTGCGCGGTTCTCCTTCGAGTATAGCTCGCGACTAGGATAGTAAACTGGTAATTTGGAAATTTGTTCGGGACCAGCTACCAGTTTTATAGTTTAAAGCAAGAAAGAAGAAGGCAATAGGAAATCACTCCAGATCACTCCAGAGTTCACTCCAGAGGGAACCGTAATCTTAGTCGTCTAACCTTTCTTTTAAGAAAGAGAAACAGACTTTCTTTTGTGACACTCCTTTACGGGTGGCACGTCCACCTCGTTGTTCCCGAACCCAACGTGGTGTGATTTTAGTTTCACGAGGTAGAACGTCGATGAATGACTAACCCCTGTCTGTTGGAACCTTTCACAGGGTAACCGACAAAGCTCATCGGATTATTAAGCTGAGGTGGCAATCGACTGGCCATACAGCTCAAAGAATATACAACCTATGAGGATGACAGATTTTCTAGTAGCATCGTCATACCGGCCAGCGAAATTTAGGGCATCCCCCATACAAGATGGAGTGACGACCAGGTAAAGCATGCAGGAAATCGATGAATGCAAAGTGGTTTAGGACCGTGTTTTATGGCATTCTTTGGGAGAGGCCTATGTTCAGCAGTAGACATAAAGGCTGTAATCTATGATTAGACGGTTGCCCCTGATGATAACTTTCATTACGATGTTGATAATAATTAGTCTGATTAATGTTAGTACTTGACAGTTAGTATTAAAAACATATACAAATTATTACATAAAAGGTTAAGATTTTTTATATACCTAAAAATATTTGCCAACTCGTATCGCAGCACGGCTCTACCAAGTATATATATATATATATATATATATATATATATATATATATATATATATATATATATATATATATATATACACTTGGTAGAACCATGCTGCAGCTATTTAAGTAGAATAGTTCTTGCACGAATGGGTCGGCTCACCTGGGGAATGACCACGCTCTCACAGAATACCAGCGTAAAATGGCAGCTTGACACTACTGTGTTTCGTATAGTGAGTGTAGAGAATCGGATACCCATTTTATTGAAGAGGCATTCCATCTTAGTCCTCACGGGTCTAACGCATCTGCATTTTGATTCGTTATTCAGGATAAATGTAGATATCTATGGTTGGACTGTCACCCAATCCTATAAAAAAAAACTTTTCATAAACGTACTCATATACATTATATTAAAACATCCAGACTGGAAATGTACTCTAATAAATGCCGCCGCATGAATTGTTTTAATAAAGCTAGTGAAAAGGTATTTTCTTTGTTACTTTATGGAAATGTTTTTATTTGTAGCATTAATGTTTCGGCCATTCATTCTAAAGTTTTTTCTGGTAGCGAAACGAAATTTTTTTCACACCAGTTATTGTTTTATTTTTTTAAAACTCATTTACCACTCAATAACTCACTCAATTAAATATGTATACGTTACCATCTGTATGTAATATCTTTATTGCAACATAAACAATTAAGCATTTATACTTTATCATCTTTATATAATATAACATAATTATTGTTATTCTGGTTTCTTTCTTTGAAAAGTTTATATAGTCTGCCTATGTATCCTGGTCCTATTAATCTTGTTCTAAAGTAACAAAACGTTTAATTTTGAAGTTCTTCCATTAATTACTTTCTGCATTATTTGTGGTCGTTGTAGATGCCGACAGAGCCTGTAGGTAAATCCTTACTCTGCCAAG